AATTTGTATACGTTTATAAGAAATTAGAGAATTGCTTTAATTTGGATTCTAAAGGAAAAATTAATGGTTATCATATTTATTTTATTTTTTACCATGGATAGCAATTGATGATATACCCAAAACAAAATTGATCATATTTAGAATAAGACTCATTTTATGACATGATAAAAAAGCTTTATTTAAGCACCACAATGCAAAACAAAATTGCCATTTTAAATCTTTAAAAAAATCCCATTTGACAGCAAGGTATTCTTTATCATACACTGTAATAAAAAAAAATATGTGGCAAAAAGTCATGGCAGCAAATATTATTGTTACTTTAGCCTACTTTAATGAATTAATCCGCTTTCAAGTAAATGTGTTTTAAGTTATACAAAGGCTAACTTATTACTTTTAGTTTGTTTTGACAGATGTACATTGAGATTACTAAATTGAGATTACATTACTAGGAAAGTGCTTTTAAAACGGCTAAACAAAATTAAGGCAGCAACTCTGTTTATAAAATATATGAACGTTTAGCATTATCTTTACTTAATTATTTAATATTTAACATCTTAAGAAGGACAGGTCAGAATAAGCATGTTTTATTTCTTAACTAGTACCTATGGAACATTTAATCTATATTTTGACCAATTAATTCCACAAGTCGTTTGACTCTCATATTTAATTTGCTTTCAATGTACAGTATATAAAACAAAATAGCTTTTGTGATTTTTAATTTGCAGTAAATCATCCTGTCTTTTGACGCTGTTTGCGCTTAACGTTTCACCATATACTGATATCACTATATGGAAGGCATTTAAGGGAATCAACATTTGATTTAATCTGACAGGATGGGCTAGATTACACTGTCACCATCATTTATATCCCCACAGTAAAGCTCATTGAGAATATTGGCAAGCATGTTCCTTTCAAAGCCTTCCTTTCAACACGGTTTACAAATCATTTTGCGTTACATACCTGCACCGTCGCATGCTTTTATCACAACACATCAACAAATACCAGAACGACTGGCCAATTACATCCGAATTAGATGTTGTCGTTTCTCTTTATTGCTGTAGATGTGTTTCCTCCGTGAACTTTGCGAAATGGGGTTACCTTTCCCATCACATCAGAGCTCAAATGGAGACATATAAACATATAATCAAAACCCCGAATAAAGGGCTGGCGCGCAATGCATAAAAACAGTCAGCTGCTTATTGCGAGTGTAGCGAAGCCAAGCAGATGGCTTGGCCTCTTCTGGAAACACCAAATAGGAACATTCCAGTATATTTATGACCTGTTACACAAACTCCCTTGAGCGCACACACGAACACACACACACAAACTCTTTCTTTTTGCTTTGTTTTATGGACGTTATCTTCGAGATGGGCTTTTGACAGCACAGCACAATTTGCTCAATGCTTTCAGACTCGACGTGGGGTGCTTTTTATTACATTTTTTTTTTAAATAGCAGTTACAACTTTCCAGTGTGTTCATAAAACTGCTATTGCTGAGCTTCGAGCTGTAATGTTAGTTAACGATAGATTCCTGATTGTCTTTCTGAGAGCGTAATTGTCAGATGGTACTATTTAGTTGTGCAATTAGACCATTCATCTAACGCAGAACACCAGATCCAACTAATAAAACTAGAAAAGGTGTTTATGTAACGGAGCCGAAAACATCGTTTAAATAAATAGTCATGGTTTAAACGAGTTGGTGAATCATTTGAATGAATCAATGAACTGTTTGTTTAAATCAGCCAATTGTTTAAATAAATCAGCGAGTCGTTTATTTAATCGCTGAATCGTTTATTTACAGGAACCATGCGAATGAACTGATTCACTCAAATGAATCTAATTTCCCAAATGCAACGTTTGAGAGGAGGACAAAGTTCATGGTGCTGTAAAATAGATGGAGATAACGCTTTGATAGCAGTTTTAGTATGCTAGGTGGTGCTTTTAGTGATTTACTCCCTAATAATAATCAAGGAAAAACAGTGGATGTAGTAACAGTAGTCGCCATTGCTTTGTCAACATGACACAAGTAACATCTCAAATCTAAGAGACACACATATACAGTAAAGAGAGCAAAAGAAATCATTGGAAATCATTTGGAAGCATATTTACTTGTGCATCTATTTCAAAAACATGTAGAGGACAAAAAAGTCTATCAGAAAACTGTAGAAAGTAGTTTTTAACACTTTAACTGAGATTTCTCCACATTAGCCAACAAATAATTGATTAAGGATGCTTATAGTTTGTTTGCATACTTTCACTTTTATTAGATAAGACAAAACAAGAAAATACAGTCTATATATTAAGCATTTTTATAGTCGAAGAAGCAACCTTAATCAGATTATACATTGTCACAAAAAAATCTAATAAATACATATTTCTCAGCTTATATATACAAAACAGACTCTGATATGTATATATGCTTAATTTAACTATATTTGCCCCCCAGTGCTCAAACACCCCACACTCAAGGGCTCCAGAATGCTCCAAATCCTAAAACAAATGTAGGGAAATCTAATAAATTGTCCACTATTTAAAAATGACCTTTTTAAAAAAAATCCTAGCCTATTAACAAAGAATGCATTATTTATTATTTATTTATTTTGTGCTTAAGTGACATTTGATAAACTAATTTCAAGAGGAGCACATGATATGATTGATCACAGCTGGTCTCTCATCCGCAATAATTAATAAACCAATCAGATGAATTCAAAATGAAAATAGCTAATTCAAGTCACTTCCCATATCTTCATTTGAAGAATCCCCCATCCACCCCTTCCCCCCTTTTTCTCCTTTACCAGGGGGAGCTCTCGAGAACTACCTGATCTCACACCTTCTTACTTGCTAATTGACCAGGCAGGGACTCTGCGCTCAGGGTTTTTTTCCCAGGACAGCATGCCAAACCCTGCTATTAGTATTAAGCAATATCTAAGTGTGAACTCTTGAAATGGCACTGGAATGAATTAGCCTATTAAAGTTTAAAAATAATAGTTCCCACACAAATGATAATCCTTTTGTTTTCTCATATCCACTTGTTCCAAACAAACTTTGAGTTATCTTCTTTTTCTGAACATTGAATATTTTGAAGATACAGTGCTCATAACCTTGGACCAACTGGAGAGTAATTTTATTTATTTTTTTGTTGGTGAACTGACTCTGAAATTACTTTCAATGGGCACACATTTGTCCAGAAGGTCAGAATAGTAATCGCTTTTGTTCAATTCCAAAATAGTATGAAATGAAATGAGAGTGAAATATGACAGTTTCCATTAAAATACACATTTTTGGCAAATGTATCCTGCTTGGTTTGACATCAATAAATCAAAAATGAACCCAAAAACTAAAATAAAAAGAAAAAAAAAAGTTCACAAAAACTTGGCCAAGTGATGATAGTATTTCATCACTGGGCTGCCCTTTGTATAGGAGCTGCGAGCTGATGACTAGAGTTTTGTGGAAGCATCTGCAAACATGAGCCAGAAAACTGTGGCTTTCCTCTGGTACTTCAGCACAGAGACTCCACTGTGCTCAGGACAGCTCATCAGAAGAATGATCAGCTTCTAGTGGCGCTGTGGCTTGGCCTGCTTTGGCCAAACCTTGTTCAGCGTCACCTTGCTTCGCTCTGAGAGCTGTCTTGATCTCTCTACACTGGTTTTTACTCCAAAGAGCCAACCGAATCGGGATGCAGGCGCTCTGAGAAGCACCTTGGTGCCGTTTTCCTGGCAAATGAAGACGTGGCTTGTCATATCCCATAAGTCCCTATAATAGCTCTTCAATTACCTTGCCGTATTGTGTGTCTTGGGCAATGCTCTGTGGTGTCAAGGGGGGCCGAAGGAGGTCTTTCCACAACGCTGTGTTATTGCTCGTTTAAAGACATTGGTGTTGGCATAGTCAGCACTACATCTGTTCTGCAGGGCAGAGGCGAACGCTTTTTACTTTTTTGATCAAGTCAAGATGGTCTACGGTAACCGATCTCCGATGGTCGGCCACGTCAATGAGAAAACTCATTGGGAGCGCATGACTTTAGGATCTCGGCCTGTTTGGTATGACACTTCTCAGAAATGAAAACTGCTCATTTATCCATTCCTTCCTTTTTGGTAGTGCTTTGTGTTCCTGAGGGTTTCCACGCCACAGCAAATGGAGGAGGGTGAAGGATAATGAGAAAAATCCCAGAGCTCAAACACAAACATACTGCCTTTCATTTGGAGCACAGCTTGATCTGTGGAGATCTGTCCTGCTCCCTTTTGTTGTCATTTATAATGAGCTAGATCGCTTCAGGCTACTCTCATTGACCCCTTCTGTTTGTACTTGACTATAAAAAAGGCTGGTATTTTATTTTATTATGTACGTTTTTTATTAAAGCAATGCTAATCTGTAGAACAGGGGTCACTAATCTCATTCCTAGAGGTCTGGTGCCCTGCAGGGTTTAGCTCCAACTTGCCTTAACACACCTACCTGGGTGTTTCAAGTATACCTAGTAAGACCTTGATTAGCTTGTTCAGGTGTGTTTGTTTATGGTTGAAGCTAAAATCTGCAGGACATCGGACCTCCAGGAACAAATTTAATGATCCCTGGTGTAGAACATATTATTTTTACTCTATTTTATTTCATTTTGAACCACTAATAATGACTGTTGTAAATCTCCCATGCTTTACAGTATATAGCCACTACTAAAGAGTTTTTTAATACACTTTAAACATAATAAAACTGTATTTTTTTTTATTTAAAATATTCAGAGTCAAAATTGAAATACTTTGATATTTATCGACATATTAAATAATACACACTCTATCCCATAGTCATAGTCCTTGTAAAAATTGCATGTGAAACATCATATATTATTTCACCATTCGCACATTACACATTCGAGTTGCTATTCTGAGCATGCCATTAGTTATCAAAGGTATTTGAACACACACATTCCTCCCTCCCCATGTTTCGTATATCTACCCACCTCAATGTCCATCTGTGCATGTCTGATTGAAGTCTGTTGGTGTGTCCCTGCAGGCAGATGAAAGACCAAAGCAAGAAAGTTGCCAACCTGAAGCACAAAGAGCAGGTGGAGAAGAACAAGAACGCCCAGCTGATGGAAGAGGCCCGTAAGCGAGAGGATAACATCAATGAGAGTTCTCAACAGGTCAAGGTAAAAAGCGCACCTGGCATTTATTTACGCGATTCACTTGGGAACAGCATCCTATATATCGAGCGATGTTCTAATCCAAAAGTATTGGGATGTTTGTAATCCTGCACTTGGGCTTGTGTGAGGTTGCCTCATTGACATGCAGGATATAACCCTCTTCTCTGTGATGAACTTCAGGGAATGGTTTTACACGCATAACCACTGAAATCTGACAAGAGCAGTGGTTGTTACAGGCTTAACATTGAAATTTAAGCCATAATGAGGACTGTTACCCTTTTTAAGAGGGGCAATTTCCACCCATCCCCACCTAAAAAAAAAACATGAGTTAATCACAATAGCTCAAATCTTTGTGTGGCCCTTAAAGTTTTTTCTTTTGCGCTGCCTAGAAACTGTGTCTCCTCAGAGCGATCCATCTTTGGATTATATAAGTTTGTATGTCGGCTCCAGTTCCTCATTTGAGAATTGCTGGGATTCTTCTCAGGTAAAGAGCGATCTCATGTTTCCCTCATCCAAACCGCATTCACGCACATCCTGACCTCGTGTCCTCCTCTCTTTGTGAGCTTTGGATTTTCGGAAAAGAGAAAAGGAGAGGATAATTGAACGATGAAATAAGACACAGTTGTTCAGTGCAACCGCAGGAACTATTTTTGAATTTATGGCTCTGCAATATTGTAGTAGAAACATCAACTTCGGTATCTAGGTATCGGGGTGTTTTGTTTGAGGAGATTTACGAATACAAACGACCTCATCTAAGCTGATGTAACTTTCATCATATTGACTATTTTAGCCCCAGCTTGACAGGATGGTGTTCTATGGTGGTCCTTCCCACCCTTCCCGAAGTGAGGGTCCGGAGAGAAAGCCAGAATCAGCAGTGAATGTCTGTGAGAATCTCCGCACAAAAAGTCCCAGTTTTTATGAAGGCGCTGTTTTTCCTCTTTGCCGTAGACCTCTGGACAACAATGCCACAGCGGCCCTCCCTTTGTTGTGGTTTTCGGTGTTTTTCCTGGCCGAGGGTTTGTTCTTTCGATCATTCTCCGTTTTCACATTTTCCTTGTTCTGTGTCATGTGTTCTTTGTTTTCGTTCGAGTTCATATGCTTTATTTCTGACAGCAGGATTGATGTGCTATTGGACTTCGACCTGTGGTACCCGGCAACTGGAGCGTCAGTGTGTGCGTGTGCATGAGTACGTGTTGCGGTCAAAGAGAGCTCATTTATGACTTTAGGGCCCCAGCTTCCTCTGTAGGGTCACGTTGCCGCGAGCCCACATTGTGGCTTGCTCTCTCCTGTTCGGAGCACCCTGATGCGGCTGCATCGCGGGCCTCGTCTGGAAGCAGCCACATGCTTCTTCTTTCAGCCAAGACCATGAACCGCTACAGGCACGTCACAATCCAGCCTCGAGGCCCTAAGACTGTAGATCAGACCAACACTGAGCTGATCTCCACACGCTATTGGAAGGGAAACCAATTGTTGTTGATGATTTGGTATGGTTACGGTGGTCCTGCTCCAATTGGTTGGTCAGGGCGATCTTAGTGAAAGGTTAGCCTAGGACAACAGAACGAATCTCTCTCTCAGCACAGCGCTGACCCGGCACTAAAAATGGCTTTTTCAATCAATTACTTAGGTTTCCATTGGAGCCCTGAGGTGGGATGTGGGGTGGTCGGTCATGGTTGAACACCAAAGCTGCACAAACACATTCAGAATAGCAACTATTGACTTTGGAAAATTTTCGATGGTCAAAAGGCAAGAAGTCTTGTTTCTTTTTTGAGATTCCTGCTGTTGGCATGGTGCTTCTGCCACATGAGTTGATTCAATCAGTCCTCTTATTAGTGGTGCTTTCTTAGGCAAGCATTACTTTAGCCATTCGAGCAAACATCTTGTCTTTAATATTAAGTTTTGGTGTTTATTAAATGCGGTTGAATGCTGTAGAGGATGTGTATGATAGTTCCAGGAGAGAACGTTGTTGTCGCTTTCGATTTGTACAGCTGAATTTGGTTTTGATTAGCTACAACACATGGAAGTTTGAAGATTGGCAGAAAGTGTTAATTGCTTTCATTTCTACTTTACGGTAAAGATAAATTGCATTGTAGTTTAAATTTCACTCCAATTTGGTAATGGATACAGTTATTGTAAAGTCACTGAAAAGTCCGGTAACTATCTCAAACTCTGGACCCGATAACCATAGACGTTTATACACGTTTACACTGTATGTGGATTCCTAATTTGTCTACTTCAAAAATGTATCAACCAAGAATGGTCGATGTTTTTTTCAGGGGTGATTCTAAAGCCTGGTTTATACTTCTGCGTCAAGTGACCGGCGTAACCCACGTCGCATGCAACGCCCGTAGCTGTGCATTTATACTTCTGAGTGCTGTCTCTGTTGGTCTGCATTAACACTTCCGAAACGCTAGTTGGCAGTGAGGTGTTAATATGTCTCTGTGTCGAGTTTCTTTGCTGCTGTTTTGCTTTTCCTGAACACTTCCGGGATGTACAAGTGACTCAAACTCGCTCATTTTGAGGCAGGAACCGGCGGACGTGCAACAACTTTAACTATGAGGTAAACACAAAACAAAACTTTCTATCCGGAGCTCCTTCACGGGATTCCACACTTGTAAACAATCGCTCCATCAGGTTCGCACCATTCGCGCGGCTCTCGGTCCCACCCAGACTCGTCAGCGCTACCAAGACGACCAATCACAGAGCTTGTGCTATGCATCGTTGCGACGTGTAGTTACATTTTTTGAGAGATGCATGTCAGTGACGCCGACAGCCATGGCGAAGGGCTATTCGTCAGCGCCGTAGCATACGCCAGCGTTTAACGCAGAAGTATAAATCAGCCTTAAGGGCCCACACATTTTGGGGGACCCCAGAGATATTATTAGGGCCCCACGACCACCCCACCCAGAGATATTAGTAGGTGCCCATGATCTATATCCCACCCCCCC